ATCTAGTCCCGCTGCTTTAGTTAATTTCAGCAGTCCGATCTCACGTTTGATTTCTGAGCGAGGGGGACAGCCAAGGGAGAAAGGAAATCAGTCACCGGCGAGAAATCTGACAATTAGGACCCATTCAACTGCTTTTCAAAGCGTTCAGCCCAACGCTCCAAGCGTTTTGACATGTTGTGGATAAGCTGTCCACTCTCGTGAAGTGTACTTTCACTAACAACAGGTCTCCTGCTGCCCGATTTCCATATCAGACGGAATAACTTACGATGATTACCAAGGGTAATGGCCACTTCCATCGCTGACACACGATGAGACCACTAAGATACGCGGTCTTTCTTCAGGCTAGCACGAAGTTTTGCCCGGGGGTCTTTGCGAGTCTCATTGTGTTCGTTTCCAGCCGGAATATGCAGGGGAGCAACGATAAGTTTCAGAGGCCAAGAAGAGATCTTACGTCTACGTTGCCTGTTTGACTTACAACATGAGGATTTCCCTGCTGCTAGTAAGGTATGGTGAACATGCGACCAGTGACCTTCAATTATATTCAGTGAGTGCTTGCTCAACCCGAACGTCAGCGTATTTTGATACGCATTCAGAACAGCTGAGTACGCCAGTTGGCTGCTGTCAATGCGCTAACCTCGTCGTTGCGGGCGTCCGCCAAAACGCATCCGCAGGTCAGCACATACAAGTGCATAGTCGGTGTGCACACATGTGCTCCAAATCGAGCGACAGTGCTGCACGCAGTCTCTCCAGCGGTAAGTGATCGCAATGTGCTCGATTTGCGTCCCAAGTTGGTCTAAGGATGGTGCGTGCCATGTCACCCTCCGGCGGGTGCCGTGTAGGAAGTTAGTGCTCGCAAGAAGTAAGCGGGCATCTTCACACAAATAACCGCTCACCGTTATCATTACGGGAGCCTACACTGTACTGGCCGCCCAGATCCAGTTCATCAGTGGACAATTTTCCAACTTGAGCGTTAAGATCCCGAGCATGTATAACAGTGTCCTTGCTTCTTCTGTGGCGAAGGAGCTCGGTCAGTTGGCGGTAGAAGTCGTCTGTTATCGAATCATCGCTATACTTTTTGGGTGTGTAGGCAGCCATGAAGAATAGACATCTATTAGTTCCGCGCGACTTTGAAGCTTTGAACGAGCCAGACAGTCGAACCGCACACATCCGGATATTGATTGGGATGCAATCAATCACAGCAGCTTCAGTCCGGGGACAGCGCAATACCAACACTGGCTTGGTCGGTACTTGGAACTACATGGTCTCCAGATAGGCGGAACGGAAAAGCACTGCTGGTGTCACCTGAAGGGAAGCGGAGAGCGAGCACAGCTCGGGTCTCGTAGGCGAAGTTCTGATAAGCAGCAGATATCGATCGAGAGGGTCTCTAGTGTTCGGGCAAGTGCTGCCTGTACACCGATGTGTAGCAATGTGCTTACATTGAAGCATGCAAATCTGAAGGGAAATCGGGAGATCCAAATGGAAGCCGATGAGCTGGGCTTGACCGCCGGACTAGACATGGACTTGTCGGCAGAGCAGGAGTGACGCTCCGCGTTTGCATGTGAGTTGAAACTAGAACATAAACATAGAACATATATTTAGTTTCTGTCTTCTAACAGGTTGCACAAAAACGGCTGCTAACGGGTATCCTAGCAACCAACGACACTTCAACCTGTGAGTTGAGAACGACATCCACTCCAGGTCGACTTGTTGTTGTCGCATCAGCGTCTACGGATGCGTGTTACCGATAGCGAGAGGACAAGCGGGGTGCGGTTTGATCGACAACTCCGTGGGGGCCACTGATCTTCGTCACAGACACACAACACATGTCGACACTCAGTGTGTGCAATATGCATGCAAAGTGCAAGCTTAGGGTGCGAACGGTGAACGCCGCCATGAAAATGTGGCCCTATCAGGAGCTGTTGCCGATAAGAGTCGACGGAGTGAAGCGTAAAAATAGCTGGAGATGGCAGAAATTCAGTGGCGTGCAGCTGTGGTCAACCAAGCGGGGAATAACAGAAAGGTTAAAAATGGAATTCGGTAGGAGAGTAAGAAACAGGTGGAAAAGAAATGTACCAGAAGTAGCATGTTTTTGCTTACCCACCCCGCTGTATGCAGCAAAAGAAGGCAACCTGGTAAACATGCGCGACGGCCGATGCAGAATGTGGCTGAAATTTGGTGAAGTGACCAAGGTTGCACGTGGGTTGAGGTACTGACAGGGCTCCCAAACTTAGACAGGAGAACGATTACGGTCTTCAACTGAAGCCTTTAGCTCAAAAACATGTGCGCAAGGAAGCGGGTAGGTAACAACGATTTGGTTTTACGGAAATGGACATTATTCCATTTCTATCCTCAATCTGGAGGACCTAAAACTGTTTAACCAATCTCTAACCTTTAACTAATCTGGCAGTTCTCAAGGTGCAAGGGGTACCGCCCAGTATGGCTCAATGGGTGGATGTGGTACGCAAGACGTTGAATCACGTAATGGTCTCGTCTCGTTGCGACGGCATCGGCGTACCCATCAAACATGGACAGCCGTTTTTGTGTACCAAAGAAATTAGTAATGATTGTGAGCCTTAACGAGACACATCTGAGAGCACAGTCGCTCATACAGGAAGATCTCTAATTACTCGAAAAGTAGAGTAGTAACTAGACAACGAAGCCATTGCTAGCAAAACTATCATCAAATTTTACGGTCATGCAGAGAGTACTGCGGAGCTCGGGATCCGATATTCCTCTGCCAAAATTCCGAGTAAGCCCGGCAAAGAATGAGCAAGACAGATAGTATGAGCGTAATTTCTGTAACGGAATCCATTCGATACATTCAAAGGTTGATGATTCCTGAATAGTGACTCCCGTTCCAGAGTACTGTACTGAAGCATCAAATGCAGAAGCCAGTAGAGTTGGAAGATTAACGAGAGATTTATCGAACGTTCGCCTAGTGCATACGGTGAACCAGTAGGAGTGCTACTAGTAGGGACGATCGCGTGATTGGAGTATAACCCTGTGTTGCTATGCAAACTTATACAACAAAAGTGCCACTTCGATACGTCCACACTTTGAATTGCGACATAAGCGTACACAAGGCATACCAAAGACCAGAAGAGATTTGTAACGCGGTATCGTCTCAATCAGACGGACCGTCCTTTGGAATAGGGTACCAACTATATCTGTGCCAGCTAATAATATGAGGACATTCAGTGTTGAACTTGAATGTCCTGTTGACTTAAACAACAGTATAATCACGCTCTCGATGTGAAAATCACCTGGTGAATATTTCCGAGAGATGAAAATCAGAAGTAGTAAACAATCAAAGACAAAAATTATGCACAAAACAAAATGAGCATACGTAAGAGACGATAGGAAATTTTTACAAATGCTCTTCTATCAGGCCCTCAACCCACCCGTTTGTAATCGCTAAATCGGAATAACAAACCTACTTTGGAACCTCGTCGTTCTTGATTGGCTGCTGATTCCACCTGAATCGACGATCAATCATGAGCACGTGTGACTAAAACTAACAGATTGGACAACCCAATCCGATTTCGCACTTCCAACACCTGTGTGGGCTTACCCAATGCTTTATACCTAGATTCAAAACGTACCCCAGGCAAGCAGAAACACAAGTGGTTCATGCAAGCCTTGTCCTCGGTAGCTCTTTTTACCTTTGGTCTACAATACTGCTGTGTCCTAAAGTGCTTTCAGTCTCTATGTCATTTTGGGTCGTAAAAGAAGTAGAGTGGACTTTAGTTTATAGAAGACGCCGAGGCTCCAAATCCCTCGTACCGAATTGTTCAGATGAAAATACGAGACTAACGCCTGCAATTCGCATCGCCTGCGCGAATAACCGCGCATGTACGAGTGTCTCTAACTGTTGGCGTGGAGCCCAGGAGAGGAATCAACACCCACCAATCAGCTCCGGAAGGAAAACATGAAATACAGAATGAAAGCAATTTCATCAAACTGAGGCTCATTGGTAAATCACATGATGGATGAAAAACAAACAATGACCGAGGATCCAAGTGCCCTTGTGAAGTCCTATCCCTCAAGCCATACGCTCTTTAGGTCCGTAGTTATCTACCAATTCAGTGTTAAATATACACAATACATATATTTCAAATGTAGAGATTTTCCCTCGTAATCAAGCGAGAAATTCGAGGTTAATAACACCCCAGTCCGACTTGCACAAGAAACAGTATATTGTGTTTCCCACCTTCAATGTGTGAAGTACGTCTAAAGATTAGATCAATGCGTCACCGATTGTGTTACCGAACCACTAAAAGTGGTCGATCGGTTCGCCCAAATACTGTGTTGTGTCATGTTTGGTAGTCAAATTGCTGAAGAGATAGCTCCATAGGGCGAGTAAGGAACTGGGCACGACAATAGTTCACTGGCATTAAAGCGCATGCAGTGTTGCCGCTTGTCGACTGGCATTTCGTTTCCAGCTACTTACGCAAATAGTCACTCAAATCGCCGTGGTCAAGAAGCCCAACGATTCTTCTCGTACCCACGAAGGCATCTTCACTGATCTAAGCAAAATTCTAGATTCAAACAACTACCTGTTCCGAGTTTACGGGGACAGAGGCACAAGTAGCACCAAAGTTAAGTTGACAGAGGTGAAATTCCGAAATTGCATTCTGGAGCAAACCAATACGAACACGCCTTGAAAGGTGGCCGATCGGTAGATTGGCGAGCACAGAAGGGTTCAAAGGTCAATGCACCGACGCAGTGGCGTTTGAAAATAAGTAGTATACAGAATCTGGTGCAACACTACCCGGTTCCCTTAAAACCAGCTGGTGGTAGTGCTTCGCAAAAAAACCGGCTAAAAATCGGTGGATTCTATGTAGTTGTAAAGCATCAACAATGCGACAACCTACATCTGAAGTGAACCGTATGGTTTCCAAATGCGACTCCAGAAATTAAGAAGGATGCATAAAGGGAAGGCTTCAAGGCGAAGACGGAAGTTAGCCAGTATTTACAACGCCTTGAGAATAACGACTCACTTATCAGTGGATATGTTGCAGTCGATGACAGTCTTGCGATGGGTGGAAATTACAAGAAACGGAAGTGGAACTTTCTCCGTTCGTACTGCTGATGAAGGTTGCTCAAGCCCTGGGAGACGTGCAAGTTCGGTATGGCCATCATTTTCAGGCATCAACCCATCAGTAGTAAACTTGCTACGACGGCTACGTTCGTTGATCCGATTTCGCATAACTAAGTTCTTGAAGGCTATCAGTTGCAAAATGAGGTCTTGAATTTCCACTGTCTGAAGACAGGAAGGGTGGAATATACGGAAAACTTAAGGTGATGATAAACAATATAATAAAAAGGAGACGCAAAGAAAAAGCAGATGTTGTGGAACGAAGAGAGTAGCCGACTAACCTTGTTGCGCAAAGAAACTTGACATTTTTCGCGCTCCTCTTCTAATCGGCGACACTCCTCAATCATGTTGACAGGGAGGCCCACCCATCGAATCTCCTTTTTCTCCTTTTGAAGGACATTGAGTGCCATCAAAACATTCAGGGCATCGTACACGCGGCGTCGGATGTTCTTTTGAATGTAGTGCAACTGGAGGTGAACAAAGAAAACCTTAGCCCAAAGAAAATCTTAGTCTAGACGCAAGTACACGAATAACGGATGGAAACACACCTGTTCGGAGGGTATCATTGGATGCTCAGCTGCATACTCGTGCACCAACTCGTCAGCCACCTCGCTATAGGAGGTGATACCCTTCTCCTTCACTTTGTCGCAAACACAACGGGCATATCGCCGTAAACCATTTGTTTTGAGGCCGGTTGGAATATGCTCTTGTTCGTCTCCAGATTCGCGGCCTGAAGGACTGGTAGGTTGAGCATAACCCGATAGAACTCCGGGAGCCGGAGGGTCTGTAACAAGGTCGTAGTAGCCACTCGCTTGAGGAGCAAAGAGTCTCCCATGCTGGGTATGCATGCTATCAGCACCAGTTAGCCCAGGAAAGATGTTGCTCTCGGCTTCACAGGAGCTGTGATAGGATGTAGGCAACTGGGTGGCAATGGAGACCGCTGTGTTCGCGGGACTGGACAGTAGAAGTGTGCCCTGAAAAATAAGTGCAACCGGAGTAGACAATGAAGGAGATATTTCTCCTGAGCAAAAGAGGTGTAGATCAAGCAAATCAACACTCGTACTCTCATCGTACACGTCAATACTGATGTGGAATGATAAAAATGCGATAAAACACAGTCCGTACGGAAATAAATTCCGAAAAGACACGAATAAGTTGATGGGACGGTTTATCCACTGATCAGGCAGATTTTCTATCAGGACGCAGTAGATGGGCTATTGTTGCTGTGAGAAGTTTCATTGCAGTTCGGTTCAGTTCGACAGCCACCGCACATCAGAAGCATTGCATGGAGAGTCCGTTCTACTACGGTTCTTCAGTAGTACGCATCGCCCTCGAACCCTACTAGATTTGAATGCACGTTGGAAGAAAGTATCATACAATTAATGGTAGTGGCTCAGTGTGTGACACTAAATAGATGGATGGGATCGTATTACCTATACCATACAACTGATTCAACAACTAATCGGACAGCGAGCTTCTGGGGAGTAAAAAAAACTTCGACGCACAATACAAATCATCAGGAGGCAATCAGAAAATGCACAATGTACGGATGTATGACACTGAATGATCTCTAGAAGAGGTGAAATAACAACTCAGAATACGGTAAGTAATCCGAGATAGTATGAATCACAAGGTTGGTGTGTGCAACCATCTGCCTCCCAATGCACTTAGACGGTCGTGAGGCATAAACTACAGGTGACGGCTTATCCAAAGCCAACTTCGGATGATTCGTTTGAGCAGAGATCAGCCTTCGATCGTATGCTTTGTCTGAAATTTTTACTGGAATGTAAGTTGGCTGTATAGTTGCATCGGAAAACGTTACTGTGACACAGACGTGGATATAATCCAACTTGCGATCATAAATCGAATCACGTCAAATGTGCGGAAAATGTCCAACGCAATTGAAGTGTAAACACACCGGACGTATAGGGGCAAAAGTCGGTGGGCCGATAATTGAACCACCAGAGGCCAACTGCGTGGGTGCTCTGATAGTCAGAACACGGGGCATAGAGAGAGAGGCCGATTGAGTGCTGGTCACAATAGAAGCCCCGCTTGAGGAAACGAATTTCATACTTCTTTGCAACATATGCATTGGAATAACTAAAAAGTGAAGAAAAAAAAATAAATCGTTTGACTGTTTAATGTACATGGCATTACACTTTCATGGAATAACACAGCGAAATGAAGTGGAAAACGAGCAGTTTGATCAAGGTGTTCGTCATCACCATTAGGTTAACGTAAAGATGAACAGTCAATAGTATTGGAGGGGTATTTTGAGGGACTTGTTGTGTGTGAATGGATTGCGACACGCAATCTCAATGTGGACCGCGATTCGCACTGAAGTGAACCGTAGTAAATTGGATCAATGGGACCGTAACTGATGAAGCAGATACATATCGGGTGTTGTCCGTCAGAAAATAGTGTACTCCAAGGATTCACACTTATTTGACCTCATCAGATAGAGATAGCACACCTCGAACCCGATACCATTGGCGTGAGAGCCGAAACCCCCCACTACTTTAACGACCCAGTCAAGACGACTATTATTATTAATATTATTATTATTGTTACTTGCCATTTGTGTGTCAAAATATCATTGACCTCATATTAGTTGGCCGATATTTTCCCGAGTGCGCAGTTAACAACAATGCACGGAAAACCACAGTCCAACCACTAATAAGGCCGGAACCAAAAGCGAAGTAGGCGCTAGTGTGACATTGAGACCCATTCACACAATGAGAACAGCTACCATAGTGCCTAAAAAGGAACTTCCTCTTTAATAGAATGGGTTAGCCATATTGCTCTACAGATTAGGAGAGAGAGGTAGATAACGGTTTATTTCAAAACTAGTAAAAAGGACAATAATCCACGTGACATGCGCATCATGGTGTGAAAAATGATAACATTAGGAGGTAGCTGACGTTTAGGGGGCCATCTGCTGCCCAATTTCTCGCCGACGCCCACTGCAACGAGGTTGACCAACGAAAGAGTTTGCAAGTAAGTCAAAACCCGTGAATGATTGAACGGGACACAAACGCATCGTAATGGAACAATGGTGTAGTAAGGGCGGAAAAGCAATGGTTATCAAGTTCTGTGAAATGGAAAGAACTGGGGAAAAACACGATAATAAAATGAAAGGAGTTTTGGTGAACTCACCAGTGTTCTCTTTGAGACACGCAAAAGAGCCGAAGTTCACAAGATAATGAACATAAATCCACCTGGTTAGAATTTTGGAAGTACACTGTTTGGCTGCGCTTAGCTAACAAAAGTTATAAAATGAAATGTGCATAGGACACTGCCTCGTCAACTTGTTTTTTTTCGATATCGTTACACTGGGAGCAGAAAGAACATAAGCTGAGCGATCGTTCGACAGATAACATACCCGGAGAGGAAACTGCAACCGCATTCCAACCGGTTATACTGTATTATCAGCTTTAAATGATGAACTTTTTGGTTAATGTTGTGGCTCAGTTTTAGGAGCGGGTGGCGAATGTGCCTTGAGCTCCTCATGATCTGGTAAATCACTTTGTCCCCACACAAGCGTCGTTATCGACTGCTGTACATTCCTAGGAACTTCAGTCTAAGCTGGTAGGGCAGATGGCACAGGCACCTAACTTTTTGGGTACCATTTGTTGAAAATTCGCGAGTGCAGCGAGACCTTGCTTATGCCTGAATGGCGTATTCCACGTGCTGTCGCACGTAGGCATTAAGCATTTGTGGGAAGATTGAGGCGCCGAGCAGACGGAACGCTGTTCGAAGAAAGCAATCGTGTTGATTACTGTGTTGAATTGGAGTAGGTTCCTCGTTGACCATTCATGAACGCAATCTAAGGTATGTTGGAGGAAACGGTGAACTACACCGATATTAATCGCTCGCCATATTTTAACATCATCGGCGAAAAGCAAGAAATTGGAAGAGATAACTCGTCATGTCGTTGATGAACACCAAGAATAAAGGTCGTTCCAGCTCCGAGTCCTGTGAAACACCGCTTTCCACCTCAATCGGGTTGGAGAGTGATCCACTAAGACGCATTTAAAGCCTCCGTTGGTGAAGGAAGTTGCCTATCCAATCAAGGACAAGATCTCCGGTTCAATAGCTCTGTAGCCTGTGAAGTAGAATGTGGTGATCCAAGCGGTCGAAAGCTTTGGTGAAGTCCAGGTAAATGAAGTTGACTCTGCTCCACCATCGGAAACTTCCGTCCAACTACATTGTGCCATCAGCAAATTGGTAGTGCATGACCGGTGTTGACGGAAGCCATGTTGCTCCGGCGTCAAGACGTTGTGTTTTTCCAGATAGTGCATTAGAGCCTCAGCGAGAACCGTTTCCATCACCTTTGAGAGCACAATGAGGTGAGTCACTGGGCGATAGTTTGCAGGGACTGATCGGCTGCCGCACTTAAAAATTGGTATGATAATGCCCTGCCCCACACAGTCGCTACTCGTTGTTCATCGAAGCACCTTTAGAAGAACCGCGACAAAGGCTTGGTTAGCTTAGTAGCCGTAGCCTCCAGTGCCTTCGGGCTAATGCTGTAGTCCCAGAGAGCTGTGAGCAATAAGAGCAACTTTCTTTATACAGTTGCTGGGTTCAAGATAACATGGGTAACTGCCTGAGCCGGTAAAGTGGATGACGGTATGTGAAAGGAACAGACCGCGCGTTCGAAAATCATAGCGATTGTAGCCGCAGGGCGTTGCCCACTTCGTCGGCACTTTGTGCCCTAACGTCTGTTGTGAAAAGTGGGGGATGCCATGTCTTACTTAACGAAGACTGTTGACATGCCTGTGTACTTTGTCGTAGTTGGTGTTATTTGGTTGAAACTGGCTAGGCACTGTTGATAGGTAACTCTTCTCACGGACAGGTGCGATACAACGGTCGCGGTGGGTCAGGAAGTTTCCCCAAGTTTCTGGGTCAGGGTTAGCCTTGTACGCGTGATAGACTACATCCCTCATTGCCATACATTTTCGAGTCTTGCTCTTGAAGATTGACGGCATTTCTATGAAACGAAGTGGCTAAGATCCCCATGCTCTGTTGACTAGGTCGCTAATTTAGACGAAATCTGTAAACACTGTCAAGGGGGAATGTTGTTCGAGAACTCCCAAGTGGGGTCTCGACAAGTTCGTTCGGGGCGTGGTAGTGTGTGACTGTATGAGTTAACTCCTATGTTCGGATGGATATTCTGCATAGCAGACAGCTAAGTGTTATAACTACATGGTCGCTGAGACCTAATGAACTCTGCAACAATATCTGGTCGACCATAAATTCTTTGTTCAGTACGGACCGTTTGTTTGCTACCCGGAATCCTATGGGCAAGGTTACATGGTCGCATAAGGGATTATAAGCGATAAATTCATGCAGGTCGGCTATGAACGGTTTATTGGAGGATGCCGATACCTCCAGGTCGCGCACACTGGAATTCCCTGAAACAAGGATATGGCTGTACCTACGGCGTGTTGTTTTGCTCAGGCGAGTATCAAGCGGAAATGTACTTCCGAAGTGGACGTTGGGGGGCGATAAGCGACAGATGCGAGACATGCGTCGTTGCGTCTTAATCGGATACGGTAAGAGGGAGGTGGTGACATGAGTTTCCGGATCACCAGCTGAGGCAATTTGTGTGACACTGCGGTAGTAGAGAGGAACCCATTTTCCTCGCTGAGATGGTCGTTTCGGGTGATTACCACTGGTATATCGGCCTCACCATCAGCAACTTTTGGTGCAACCAGGTTTCAGTAATGGAAATGAGGTTTCAAGCATTCGCGACCTTAAATAGTCGAAGTTAGGTAGGTTTACTAGAGTTCTTGGGCGGTAGTGTACATGCAAGAGCGTTTCTCAAATAACAGCAATGTGCTCGAGATGTTGCGATTCAGACGTGACTGGGGACTGTTTCGGTTTAAGATCCAACGACTACGTAAGAAATCCCAAATCTTACCTTATATGTACCAGATTGTATGGGCTCATCAGACACACTGTTGGTGTATTGTTCTAGTAGGATCCCTATAGCTTGTTAGGGGACATATCGCTTGCTGTCATTAGTCGAAGCTCAGATGGCAGCCCGCAACGAAGCATGCGCCAGCTTGTTAATAGCCGCGCTGCCATTTGTCTTAACTGAAGGACTACATTAATCTTGAGCCACATCGTTCGTAGTTAGATGTGTGTAGCCGTGACAACGGTCTCACCAGCATGTCATTCAAGGAGTGTTGCACGAATGTAATGCTATCGTTGCTTAGCATGAGTTCTTTTATTATACTCATCGTAAGTCCAAGTTACAGGAACGCCGTTGATAAGGATGGGTTTATCAAAGTTTCCTATCGGTGGTCTTCTAAGCTGAGGTTACATCGGTAACGCTTACCCCATGGGATATTTGAAAAGACATCGATCGTGTACTGCTCATTTACGAGTTGACCTGTCGACAACAGAACTGATTCGGAGTTCATCATAAGGTGCAGAAGCCATGACTCCACGTGATGCCTAGAGTTGGGGTGCCATGTGACCAGCTCTACATCTCCGGGTTTAACCGCAATACTGAGTAGTTTACTGATGACGCGCAAGTGGTTGTCATTTAACTGCCTGTCTCTAACTGACGTTGAGGTTGGTGTGACATTGGAGCACAGTACAGTCGGCACAAATTGTTGTTTCGCAGTATCTCTCGACATATCACAGGTATTGGTTGACATACTCGGAGATGTACTGCAAGAAACCGGTGGTGCTTGCACCAAGAGAATTTCAATTCGCTTTTTAGTTTGCTATCCGGTAGGGGGCGCTGCCGATTTTAAATACCAACTCTTCTTGACATCAACCGCAAAGCAGCTTTCCCTCGTACCGGCATGCTGTCTTGGACAAAGTCTTGCTGGCCGTTCTCAAGTAAATGATCATCGTGCAATCGCTCATGCGCTTCGTCTGCGTTGTGATATTACGGTTCAGTTTTAACCGCGTTTTCGAAACAGGACGACCAGCATGATCGGAGTGCGGCACGATGGCTGGGGTGCTTCTCACCTCTAGCAAACGTGTATAATAAGGATGAGCATCATGAAAAAGCATCAGACCATTGTCGTTTGCTGAGGCAAGTGGATACAAAAAATACTCACCAGCAGCTCGTAAGGGTCGTCCACCTGCTCCTTGACCAGGAACAGTTATAATCTTCACTGTCTGAAGGAGAAGATGTGCAGTTGACGAGATGGTAAACGTAGTGGACGCAAACAAAAACGACATGAAGCGATAAAACGCAATACAATCGTTAAATGCGCATTAAGTAAATTTATAGACATTACAGGAAAAACTGATACAAGTGCAGGGAAAGAAATAGTGTTTGGCTTTTTGTAACGCACTTTCAAAGGAGCACGTTGAACTGAATTAGAAACGGAGCTGCTCGGAAGTTGCCCCGCCCGATGGAGCATCAGTATCCTCGTGGGGCGTGGAGTAGGATTCGGATTATGGAATCCAAGGCCGATGGGATTCTCAA